CCAAAAAAGGCCTGTAAATGAAACTGATATATCTGCATCTAGGAAGTTTCTTTGCAGTTTAAGGAAACTGATATGTTTTCAACCCCACAGGTCTCCACAATGTGGTATTTCTAGCTGTCAATATTCTTGCACATTCTTATTTCCTGACAGCACCATAATATCACTGTCATGAATCAAGGGCATGCACTGGTGATGATGAGAACAGCTCAGTCAGAAAAGCCTCTGTTACAGGGGCTGGTCAACTCTCACTTGAGAACATGGGGATTAATGGTGAAAGCCTCACTGCTTCAGTGACTGGTGGAAGAAAACGGAATTGATAATAAAAAGTATCTTGTCCTTTGGTGAATGCACTTGTTCCTTTTTGAGCTGTAGAATGACAGAAATGCGAAAATTAGACAGAAAGGTTAAAAATAGATACGGAGGTGACTTTATATACTCTCTTTTCAAGTCTTCTCACGATAACAGCAGTAAACTAGTGTAGGCTGATTGGCACTAATACACAGTAACTACAACCAGGGTAAGAATGTACATTCCTTTTTTTCAAGAAATACAGTTTCTCTAGATTCCTCCTACCAAAAGAATTACATATCCACTTAATCAAAATCAAGACATTTCTCATTGCCCTCAACTCAGAGCTCCTTACTGCAAATCAGCTCAAATTAATCTGGTATGTCCAGTATCTCTCTGCTTCTGCCCGCCTTTTTTCTTTAGACTGTATTGTCACTTGGTCTCGGTGTCTTTTGCTGAAGGATATTGCCCTGGCAGCATGGTCCGTGACACCTCACAGGTAAGCAAGGTCATCATGAAGGGTGTGTCTGACCAGTTTCCCATCCAGGAAGGTGTGCAGAAGTTGCCCAAATTCCTGAGACTTCCTGGACACAGTGTCAAGCTGACTCAAAACCAAATCTTTTGATGTAGAGGTGTAAGAGCATCTTAACCTGATTGAGAGGGATCTCGTAAGAAATAGAGTTAATATTTCTGATTTGGCTGTTCTTACTGGAGCTGTGAGTTCTCCAAGCTGGTATTTTGACCTTGCCTTTGTCCCTTTGTCACAGAAACTGCCCAAGGCAAAGTTCGTCTCCTTTGAACTTTCTGCATTCTCCTCTGCCTCTCCTGCATGCAGAATATTACAATGTATTCTGCCCCCACCAGAAAAATCTGCTTTTTATGCATTTTTCTCTTCACTGGCCAGACACTATTGCTACAGGACAGAACCAATTTCATCCTTGTCAGGTAAAAGAATTTACTGCTCGATTAAAAAGTAGTCCCGTGTAGAACTTCCAAATAAAACATGTAAATTACAACATCATCCTTACCCTTAGGCCAATACCTCTGTCCACCTTGGAAAAAAAACCTCCTTCCTCATGGTTGTCCTTTTTTTTATTGTCCTAAAAGATTCTACTCCTCTCATCAAAGTTGTTTTTCCTTAATGTCAATGCTAGCCACCTCAGTTTTGGGAGCTTCAAAAGGATTTTTAGTCTCAGTCTCCCTGTTTAGAGGGGATATTGCAGCATTTTACTTCTCCTTACTGGCCATCTTTTTTTTCCTATGTAATTCTAGCAAAAGGCTGAATTGTAGAAATCAATATTTTTGCTGTTAATACTGTCAGAAAAGAAGCAGAAGTCTGTGAGGAGGTTGTTGAGGTCCCCAGTTGCTCATAAACCATGTGGAAATTTATATAATGGAAATTCAGATTGTAAAAACTAAAGAAATTAAGCATTAAAAAGCTGTTAAAAGCCAATTGTGATAATATACAATAATCTTAATAGAATTTGTTACTTTTCCTCCTCAATTATTCTATATTATTCAGTGGAAAGGATGGTCCTTATCTGGGGTTGAATCAAAACAATGTATTATTTCCAAGAAGGCCTTACATTGTCATAGGGCCCATGTAGTGAATACACCAGACATTCCCAGAGGGACGGTAACATTGTATGATCTTAGCCCAAGATTGTTGGGGTTCCCATTTGGTCCTGAGCAAATGGCTCAACATTTTTCATATGGGATCACTAAAAGCAGGGTTTAGTTGCCTAAAGATAAGCAGTACCTAATCCAGGTACTTCCAAAGAAGACCTGGTCCATACCAGGAGTGAATATGCCGCTTTGGAAGTGAGGGTGTGAGCCATGGGTGGTTTCTCCTTGATCCTGCTGGTAAAGGGACGAGGGTTAGGGAGTAGCAGATGGATCCTGTGGGTCACCATGGGACTTCACTACTGGTGTTGACAGGGATTTAACTTTTAGGATTATGGGACCCTTTTTAAGTATCAAAGATGGATGGGGAGAGGCAGAATACAGCTAACAACGTGGGGCGAAAGTATCTTTGCCAAGAGGTTGACCAACTTTTAACTAGGAATGATGGAGGCAGTTTACTAGAGTGAAGGAAGTGACTATTGCCTTCCACTCAGCACTCATCAGACTGTAATTAGAATATGTGGGCCAGAGTGTTCCCCCCACCTCTCCAATACAGGAAAAAAGTCTTGTTTCATGACTGGAAAGAGTTAAAGGGGAGACACCAAGGTGGGAAAGCCCTGGGAGAAGAGATTCCGGGACTGGGGCTTGTTTAGGCTGGGGAAGGGGTGTCTTAGGGGCCCCCAGCAGCATCCCCTGGTGCCTATAGGGAGGGGACTCAAGAGGTGGAGCTAGGCTCTCTGTAGCATTGGGAGATGACAAAAAACAATGTGCATAAATTGAAATAAGACAGGTTCAGACCAGATCTAAGCAAAAACTTTTTCACCCTGAAGACAATCAGGGATGCCCAGAGAGAGATGCCATTTCCATTCATGGTGGTGTTCAAACCACAACTGCATAAAGCCCTGAGCCTCTGATGACAGAGCTGACCCTGCTCTGAGTTGGAGAATAGACCAAGGAGGTCCTTCCAACCTGGATAATTCCATGATTGTATGGTCCTATCATGTGGCAACCCAATCTTACCATGCCAAAGCTGTCTGCCTCATTTTATGTGAGGCTAGATGGTCCTGAATTGCAGATGTGATAAGGATTCATGACAGAAAATACAGTCAGTTTTATCTATGCCAATAAAATATCAAAACTGTATTTTAAATTTTAATAAAATTTTTTTTCCCCAAGTCCAGGCCCTAGGAATGTTGGGTTAATTCCCATTTCCAAACTAACGTAGCATCTCTGTGCTTCAGCGTTTTTCCCCAAGTCCAGGCCCTAGGAATGTTGGGTTAATTCCCATTTCCAAACTAATGTAGCAGCTCTGTGTTTCAGCATTTCTATGAAGTGGTTTGTGCATGGTCTTCATGCAGGTGTTACAAAATAAGTGTGTATTTACAAACTGGTCACAGTGACTAATGTAGCAGAAAGTCCTTGAGGAAATTAATAATTCCATAACAGGATTTTAATCATGTAAAGTGAAGAAGGCATAAGATTACATATTTAACATGAGAGATAAAAGCTAGAGGTGGGGATCTGCATACTCTGTCCCAGGGGTTGATTTGAGTCCTGTGAAAGAAATAGCAGGTGAGCATGTAATTAAAACTGAGTGTGCATGAGTACTGAGCCTATGTAACGGATACAAAGTAGTGGGGATTTAAAATTGAATTGACAAAATCTGCTATCGTATTTCTTACCTTTTGTATGCTTCACCACCAACCTTAATGCTTCCTGATGTAGAAGCTTTCTTTTTCTCCCATTGTTATATCTTTCACTTAAGTCTTCAGTCAACAAGAGTATCCTGCCAACTACTCACAAGAGAAGCAAAATAAAACTCTCAGATAAATTTCACATACAAGTTATAATTGTTTGAGTGGAATTAAAGCTTGAGGAAAGTTACTGATGTGACACATACCTGTTTGTTTCTATGTGCTCCAGGTTGTGTCCAGTATTGGTGAACACAGTCACTTCATCAGAACAACCAGGTTCCAAAATGCTGTCACAGGTGTCACCTCTTAGACTGAAATGTCAGTCCTTGGTGCCCCTTTCAGGTTGCAGTGGGGTCCAAGGCAGTCTGACTGCAGCACGGCTGTACCCATTGGCACTGTGAGCTTTCAATGTACTGAAAGACTTGATTTTTCACATGGTGTGAAATTTGATAGAAGAGTATATACAGTTCTCTGGGAGAAAAAAAAAAGGCTTTATATATGAGATTGTAAATCACCAGTATTTACTTTAAATTTTAATGAAAGGCAATATGGTACAGTCTGGATAAAGCACTTTAAAGCAACTCTTTGTACGTGTGGAAAAGTATAAATAAATAGGTCTTTAATCTGTCTCTGTATTTTAGTTATTTAATAAAATTTTCATAGGTAAGAATTTATACAGGAAAATAAACTTATTTTGGAATATGATGGCAAAGCCTCAAAACATAGCTTTACAAGTCAGACCAGATGGGGATTGTTTATGTATAAGCTGAGTAGAAAGAACATACAAATGAATTATTGCTGGTAGGCAAAGGGCTCAGCTTGTAAAAGGTAAAGGCAGAATTGTGCTCACTGCAAAGTACTGTAGGAATATTTGCAGGCAAACAACATGTGTTTTATGTCTTTGCTAGAGTAGATAATGACCCTGTAGTGGCAATGAATCTCCTGATAAGACAGGCTTAAACAGTTGAGCGTGTCCTAGTTTATATTAGAAATGGGTTCAGGGCACTCTGGGTTTGAACCTGTGACTCATTTCCAATGAAAATGTTTCAAACAGTTGTACATAGTCCTCGCCATTGGTCCCCTGGGCCTGCACTGCTGGTCACAGTGTCATTGCCCTTTAGACATTGTCCAGGTTGAGCTGGTCAGAACCAGAAAGGATTCGGAAGGAAAAGAAATATATGAAGCAGTTCACATTTCACAGGCTTTGAAGCTGATCTGTCCTTTTCTCAGATTTCATTAAGTTTGATATTTATGTCATGTAAAGTAAGCTAGTAATATTTTTCAGGCAAAGAAAAAGTGTCTTACAGTGTGGTATCTATTAAGCGAATTTTTTGGAATTTTGATTTCAATATTGATAAAAATCAGCTGCAAAATGCTGTGAAAGACCGAATATGTTCTACTTTTTCAAGTTTCTGTATACCATGCAGAGGGTCTATTCCTATGTAATTGTTAACGATTGGCCAACTCAATGAGGGGAGAAAAATGCATATTGCCTACCTGGAATTGAGGAAGACTTTCGACACCGTCTCCCACAAGATCCTCACAGAGCAGTTGATGAAGTACGGGCTGGATGAGCAGACAGGGAGCTGGACTGAGCAGCGGCTGGATGGGGATCAGTGGCACAAAGTCCAGTGAATAGTTGTGTACCCTGGGGGTCAGGACTGCATCTGATCCTATTCAACATGTTCCTTAATGATCTGGAGGATGGGACAGAGTCTTAGCAAGCTTGGAGAGACACAAAACTGGAGGAGGACTACACCAGACAGTTATGCTGCCATCCAGAGGGATGTTTTAGCAAGCTTGGAGAGACACAAAACTGGAGAAATGGGCTGACAGGAACCTAGTGACGTTCAACACAAGCTGGAGAAATGGGCTGACAGGAACCTAGCAAAGTTCAAGAAGAAGTGCAAAGTCTTGCAGTTTGGAAGGAACAACCCTGTTCACCAATTTATGCTGGGGGCCACCCATCTGGAAAGCAGATGATTGGCAGAAAGAGAGCAAAGTTCAAGAAGAAGTGCAAAGTCTTGCAGTTTGGAAGGAACAACCCTGTTCACCAATTTATGCTGGGGGCCACCCAGGGTCCTGGTGAACACCAAGTTGAAGATGAGTCAACAAAGTGTCCTTGCTGCAGAGAAGACTGGCTGCATTGCCAGCAGGTGAAGGGACATGATAAATGCACCCTCTACTAAGCACTGGTGAGGCCACACGTGTTCATTTCTGGGCTCCACAGTGCAAAGGAGACATGGACCAATGTTGGGAGATGGTCCAATGAAGGACCACTAAGATGATGAAGGGACTGGAACGCCTTTCATATGATGAAAGGCTGAGAGATCTAAGAGCCTTTAGCATGGAGAAGTCTTGTCTCAGGGAGTATCTTATTAATGTATATACATATATACATTATATAATGTATATAAATACTAGAAGGGAGCGTGCATAGAGGATGGACCAGGCTTTCTTCAGTGATAGCCGGTGACAGGACCAGAGGCAATGGGCACAAACAGATGTACAGGAGGTTCTGGCTGAACATCAGGAAACACTGTTTTACTGTAAGGGGGACCGAGCACCTGCAGAAGGTTGCCTGGAGAAGTTGTGGAGTCTCCATCCTTGAAGGTAATCAAAAGCTGTCTTGACACAGTCTTGGGCAACTGGCTCTATAGGGGGTTGGATCAGAGGGCCCTACAGCCTCATCCATTCTGCGTTTTTCTGTGATTCAGGGGTGAAAAGAATCCATTAGAACTCGAGTAAATCCACACATGTAGAAGTGTTTCCTTCTTCATGTAACAGGAAGAGAGGAAAAATAACAACCCTTAGAAGTTGTATAAGCTTCAAATCTTTCAAAAGTAGAAAGAAATGCTGCTTTCCCCCCCCCCTTTTTTTTTTTTTTTTAGTTTCTATAAACAATCTCCATGGAGCTACAGTGCAAATTCAGTCACATGGTACATGTGACTGTTAAGCATAACAGAGGAGAAATGGAGCCCCCCTGGGCTATGGACTGCCCCCTAAATAAAGAGTTGTTCAGTTTACCCTTAAAAGCATCCATTTTTTCACAGTCTGATAGCCTCACCACAGGAGTTACTGCCAGGGTCAAACAGGGAGCTCTCTTACCTTGAGCTGCAGCTCCCGGTGCCACCTTACAAATTTGACAGTCCAAGGCCATCACGGGAGGAGCCTGGCAGGGGAGAAGAAGTTAAATCAGTATTCTCATACTGCTGTCTCTTTAAAAAGCATAACATTTTCTTTGAATTTCATGCAAGGTTGTGCTCATCCTTTGGAGGAGACTATGTTTTTCATTAACCTGCTGAAAATTACCATCATAACTCCCATGGTTCCTTAGTGGAATATTGCACCCTTTATGCCGCTGATGAAACGCTTCCCTTATGGCAGAGAACTCCAGAAGGGTGATACAAAAAAATAGCCAAGAGATACTTCACTATGAAAAATAGTTCCCAAATTTATTGTCAGACTCAGGAAATGAAAAAGAAGAGATTTGTTTCTCTATTTCTTTAGGAAGCAATAATAAAAGGACAATGCATCTATATCCCAACAAAGAAAAGGTTTATCCCTTTCTGAATTTTTAACATCAAGGAAATTCAGCTGTGTCTGTAATAAAAAAAAAAATAATCTAGCTTTGTTTGTTTTTAAGTGTGGTAAGGAGAAACATATTTAGAAACCAGCCACAAGGCAGTAAAATTGATTTCTGGTTTATCTGGTGTAGCTCTGAGTCTCTCACTGAGCTGGGAAATAATTGATTGCTTGAAGCCTTGTAGCAGTAGTTAAAAATTGATAAATGCTAAAGCCGGCACAGTGTTTTATAGGTTCTCAAGAATTGTGGAGCCTCCATATTTCTTTCTCATCACTAGCTCTAGATCATGAGGTGAAATTTAAAAGACGCTTCATCTTAGTCTTACTAAATTATATTCAGCAACTCTGAGACCTTTTGCTGTGAGAGACAAAGCAAAATCTTTAGTTGCATCAGTAACGTACGAAGCCAAGTGAGTTTTTTGCAGGTCAATATACTGCTTCAGATCAGCTGATAAGATTACATTAAAAACCAACAAAACATCTGTGGCCATAATCATAGTTTGTTAAATCAATGTCTAGAAGAATTACTGGTATTGATAGCTAAGGTGTCATCCCATGAAATGAACTGCTGTAAGAAATTGCAGAATTGGGTCCTGTTTAGCAAAGAAATGCTGAAAGATTTCATTAACCCGAGCTTTCCTTTATTAGTGCAGGAAGTTGGCTTTTTTTGTCAGCTGACTGCTAACTTTTATACCGGTGTAAACTTTAACATCTATATTAAAATATAGGGAGCCAGATCTTCTCTCACCCTTTTCCGGATGCTTTACATGCTGTCAGCAAGAGAAGGAGGCCTGAAAGTTGCTCAGGTGGTCATTTTGGATGAGTATCTAGGCTTTCATAATGATATACAGAGCTGTCATGTTGTAAAGAGAGAGATGAAATTCTTTATTTTAGATACTTATGGGTCTCCTGCACTGAAGATACTCAGATTAAACTAGTACTTACAGGTCCTTAACATAGAGCCCCAAGCAGTAACAGTAAGATGGTTTATACAATCTAGTTACTAAATTGCTTATCTATAGTTATTCTTGTCATCTTGAATAGTCCACATAAGAAAACTAAGACACAACACACTGTTCACAGCTGCGAACAATGTAGTTCAGAACTGTGAGCAGAAAACTAAGTTTTACTTGAACAGTGACTGAGCCTGAACTGCAAAACTTTAAGGTAGTTTAAAAACATAAACCCCTGAAATTAATAGTAATACTCACTTCATGTGTACAGAATCAGACTCAAACTATATGAGAAATAAATAATAATTAACTTTTGGTTTTGAAGTTGTTAGCTACATGTGCCTTAGTACAAATTATCACAGCAAAATGGTATTTTTTCCATGTCAGATTAGTAAATACTTAGTTCCACAGCTATGCTTCACTGAAATAGAAAAGCAATACATGAAATAGCCCAATATTAGGCAAACTTCACAAGTTTGAAAATGCAGCAGGCAATAGAGTTCAGACTCTGCCTTTTATGTCTTCTTATATTTAGAGGTAGGGCTCAAATTATTTATTTGTCAACTGTTTTGCTCAGCAAACAAAAACATTTTAAATTGTTTCTGTAAACTCAGCAACTCAGTACTAACCTTCAACGTTGCTGGCAACATCTGTGATCAAAGCGCAGTTTCCATTTGCAGATCAGTGAAGACAGGTGATTAGCATCAAAATAGCTTGTTTATTCATAAAAATCCTGCATTTAAGGCAGTGGGCTTGTGCTGATCTTCAAGTGGGAGCAACTCCTGCGTGACACAGACCATAACATTTCACGTTACAATGCCTGTAGCAAACTCAATTGCTTTAGGAACATTCTAGTATATTGGTATTTTTCTTTTCAGTATTATTAATGTTTTAGAACCTTTCCGGAATATCAGTTAATGTGATGAAGACTTAAAATATAATTACAGTAATGATGAAAGTAAATCCTTGTCCTGCATTTGCTCCTTTTCTGCTTTAGGACGGGTTTATCTGCTGCCCGAGAGAGAGGACAGAGAGCAAGAACTACAGGCAAACACAACCAGATTCTGAAGGCGCTGCTTTCTCACTGAATCACAAAGCACTGAATAAACAGTAAGTAAAAAAAATTAAAACACCACTGGGGAGAGGTTCTCCTTCCCCCATTTCACCTTCAAACCACACTGTAGAGTCATCTGGAGCTCCATCGGAGCCGAGGAGCCTGTGAGGTCTCAGCCTTCCCCTTAGCCCGCGCACACACAATTAACTTCAGTGCTCCAGTTCTAGTGGTGCTGGCAAAAGAGAGATTAAACACACAACTTTGTAGCTAAAAGTGCTACATTCTCCCCTTACAAATAAGCGCACCTGTGTGCCTTCCCTCAGCTCCAGCCAAGAGAGGTGTGTTATTAGCACCAGCGTTACCTAGACTTGAAGATACGATGATGGCTTCTCACCAGGAATTTCTTGCTGAGGAATGTTAATGTTGCCTTTAAAAATACATAATTTAACATGTATTAATTGAATTAAATTATTAAATGCATTAGTGGAATTCTTTCCAAAAGACCAGAGACTTCTGCTTGGCCCAAACAGCTAGAGTTTGGATGCTATGAGCTAAAATATAAGTGACCTCTTTCATCTTCACTTGCCCTAATAAAATGTTTCTTTGAACAGTTTTTAAAGAAAAACCTCTTTAAACAAGAGAAGCTTGAATCATCAGAAATGTAATGCCTTTTACCCAAATCATTAATTTTGTATAGACAGTGAGTTTGCCCCAGTAAAGAGTGGCTCAAATTGAGTAATAAGGTTCCAGTGGATCCCAGATGGTGCTTTGAGTTGTATTTGAAGTGTATATTTAACACTGGCCTCATTCTGTGCCTTTTGCTTCTAGTGAGAGTAGAACTTCTTCTAAATGCTCAAAGTACAGGACTTGGTATCAATCTTCTGAATTCCTGTTCTTGTCTTTCTGCAGCTTTTTTTTTGGACTTTGGTGGGTACAGAGCCATAGGTGGGACAGGCTCAGATGTAACTGTTGTGCTCAAATATATACATACCCCCACAATTGCAACACTGTGCTGAGATACTGTGCAAACAGGGTATGTAATTCATCTTCCTAATGGTATATACCATTAAAAGTAATAGTGTAGGATGCAAAACAAATAAGCAAACAAAAAATATG